TAACAAAGACAACACAATGAGATTGGTAGACAGAGGTAAACTCGGTAAATCTGAATGTGCAAGATCATGCAGCTCAATAGCCAGTAATTGAGGAAATTTACAGGCCCCTATCAAAAGAGTCAAGTGAACAATGCAGTCAACTGCAGTAGGGAAGGTTATGAAGGATGAAATCCCCAGAGGAGTGACCAATAGCAGAAAATAGACCATTTATGGTGATAAATTGCCAAGGAGGAAGGATGTACAGGATGAGCAATCAATGAGGCAACATGCCTGGAAAATTCCAATTGTCTGGCAATGGGCTGGACAAAAGCCATGTGTGAAGCTGAAGGGCGGGAATGAACAGATGATGCACATCTGATTGAGTTTGATGAAGGAGTATGAGAGACAATGACAAAGGATGGGGAGGTGACACTGAAAGTCTGCACAGAAGCAGAAACTATGATTGAGCAGGCCAAAATGGAGCCATCAGGATCACCCAACACAGAGTGGTCGGAATAAACAAAGGACCCTGGGAAGAAGATGAATAGGAGAATATACAGGTAATATCCTATCCAGTTTTGACTGAAAGCATTTACAGCTTCTGCCAAAGGATGCAGAACTGGAGACCAAAAATGGGGAAGTTGTGCATTGAGATGTGTGACAAAAGCATTTCCATCTGGAATATCCCATTGAGCATACAACTCCTGAAACACCTGCACATCTAATGACCACTCTGTCGAAGAATCTTGTTGCACCAAGATAATACTGGTCCACAACCAGATTCAGGGCACTCGGAATATGACATGCTAACAATCTGATGTGATGATTGTGGGCCCAGTAGAGGAGATTCAACGTTCTGAAATAAAAATTTCGTGACTGGCTGGGTATCCCATTTCCTGGTGATATAAGAAACTACTGTGGATTTGTTAGAGTGGATCATCACCGAATGTCCCTGAAGATCAGACAAGAAGTGAAGCTGAGCATGATGGACAGCCGGCAACTCCAAGATGCTGACATGTAGAGATGAATCAGCCAGTGTCCAATGACCCAAAACCTCCTGAGCATTGAGATACACACCCTAATCCAAAAAGGAAGCATACATAAAAAGACTCCCAAACATCTTTTCACATAAAAAAGGTGTCATGCACAAGTCACACAGAGAAGTAGCGGGTAAATGTACTCGACAGAAGGTTCCAACAGCATATGAGCCACATCTAAAGAGCCAGGGCCAAAGATGAAAGGCGTGCTATTGTAGTAAAGAGAAGACCGTGAACATCATCTGAAAACCCTTCAGGAGACAAATGAATTACCTGAGTCAGCAAGTGCATAGTTGATAATACACACAGAATTATGAACAACATCAGTTTGATACAAAAAAATTGAGGTTGTGAGAAATTTAGTGATGCATTAGGGTGTGAACTCCACAATGGAATGAGAGATTCCAAACTTTGTGAATCAAGATAAGGGAAGGAAGATCAATGAAATGCATAAGCATGATATTCAGATGTACAAGGCAGACAAGGCATACTAACTCCAAATCAAAGTTGGTTCCCAAAATGCTGGACATGAACCCAAACATTAGGTGAGGGTGGGAAAA